GATGCGGTCCTGCCTCTTCCTTCCCCTGCGTCTGATAGAGGCTGTGTGTGTGGCGGGGGGGGACATGTAACCATGCTGGTGAACCAGTGAGCCCAGGCTTATCGGTTAACCATGTACCTGTTAACATCCCCAGTGTTACCACTGGTCAGACTCCTGAAGGGAAGAGCTGCAGGGGCCAGAACTCAGTTTGCCCTGCTGGGCGAGAACCGTTAATGCTTAGTGTGTGTGAATTGCAGACTGTCAACCCAGAAAGGCTTTCAGTCTAACACCTTAGGGGGAGTGCAGAGAGATGGGAAGGAGACAAAGAAGCAGCTAGCCCTGTAACCATGACTGTGTTGATGACTTAATCTTTGTCACAGGAGAAATATAATCCTGAACTCTGATCTTGGCTGGTGAGTAAGCAGGAAACTGATTTTTTCCCCCTTGTTTTGTACATTTCAGACTTGCTGCTCCACTGGTTCAATAATTGGGAATTTTAAATTGATTTTTTTTTAAATTTGTAATAAAGATTTCATCACCCCATTTCAAATAGAAAGACTTTGAGATTACAGTTTGGACCTCTGAAAACTGGGACTCTCTGGTCTGGCAACATCCGTGGTCCAGCAGGACCAGAGACGTTCCTGGACTAGGGAGTCCGGGCTGGGAGCCTAGTGGCAGGAGGGCTGGATGCTGGCAGCAGTGGGGCCGGGACCTGGGTATGAGCCTCAGTAGCAGGGCGGGAGGTGCAGAAGCCTGTCAGAGCTGGGAATGTGGCAGCCAAGGATGTGGGGACTGCAGCAGCACAGCTGTCTGGCAAGAGAGGTAAGTCGTAGCAGCCCGGCTCAGGCCAGCAGCAGAGAAGGGCAGTGGGCTGGGAGACTGGTAGCAGGGGTCCTCCACAGGTCCAGCAAATTCCCTTGTTCAGCACCGTTCACGTCCTGAGGATGCTGGACCAGAGAGGTCCAACCTGTGCTCTGTATGAGACTAACTTAAGTTCTCAGAGAGGGGGCAGGATGGGCTGTTTTAAAACCAAACTCTAACCGTTACAAGTGATCGTGTCAATTATTTCAAAAATCTGTTAAGTGAGGTAATGAAAAGGAGACTCAATTGCGGAGGCATGTGTAATTTACACGGCATTAAGTCCTGGCCAGAGCTGCATTGGGAGTCTGTAGATTGCATTCTTATTGTGGCTTCCCTTGATTTGCTACGGAGACACACAGCCTTATTACTATTCAGGTCAACTAGTTGGGGTACAATAATATGCCACCTTCTGCTCCCTGACAATGATCATTTCCATCCAGATTAGGACAATGTCTGCCTTCAGAAACCTAATTATTGGGGCTATTGATTTTTAGTTATTTAGCGGATATACAGTGAAAAACAGTAGTACAGCTTGTATGGCTCCTGTTCCTTGCAAGGTTTGAGAACTTGACCTCATCCCGAGAAGACAGTAGGTTGTTACTGTCCATTGTAGTAGTCCATTGTTCCTTTTAAATGAACCTGCTGCAGAGAGAGTTTCTCTCAATTTTCTGAATTTGTGTTGTCTGTCTTGGAAGAACAGAATAGCAGGGTTAGGGCACGTTGGATCTAGTGTTGCTAGACCAGTCATGTTTTATCTGTCAAAATATAGTTCATTTAGGCCTTGTCTACAGTAATTCTTGCACATTGGTTGGGGTTCACTTGTACTGGACCAATGAGAACCATGCAAGTACCCAGAAAGAGGAAGGATGCCTTTACAAACAAGCCGCCTAGATTCCCTTTAGAGCAGTATTACCACTATTACTAGATAAATGGCAAGACTGAGAGTTTCTGAAAATGCAGCCTTCAATGATATAGGCCTGATGAAGAGGGTTTCAGTAGAAGTGATCGGTAGTGTTGACCATTGAATTCTGATTTTCAGGGTTTTATGTGCTTAGATGACAACAAACAAACTCCTCTTAGTTCTTTGCTTTCAGAATATTGCTCTTTTCCCGAACTTTTCAACAGTAAGAGTGGCTGCAGTGGAGAGGTAGATTTGAAGTTTTCTCTGTTCCAATGACATTCTAAGGGAAAGTAAATCCTGTGTTACTTCAAGCCTCTAAAGATTCAAGAGTAGAAAAACCAGAAAAAAGAAATCACTAATCTAGGTGATTACTCCAAGCTCCTAGCCACATCGGCCAAGCCTCTTGTTTCCTGTAAAGGTTTCCAAACCGAATTAGTCTGGTGTCTGTTTTGAAGTGATGCAGGCACAGTTCACACGGGAACCAAAGTCTGTCTACTAACACATGCACTCCAAAACCCACTGCCATGAACTTCATCGGCTTTTCCCTGGATGTCGCCTTCTGTAAGGGAGAAGTGTTGCTTTAAATCATTTCAGAACAAGCTGCCCCAGGGTGGAAGAACAAACACTAGGCAACAAGCTGAGCAGTAGTGACTAGCTAGGGAACTTTGGAAGAGAACAGGGAACTGTACCAAGGAGAAACACTTGAAAGTTGCACTCATTCTGATTCTTCATAAATTGCTTGCTTATTTTGTTGCACCATAAACAAATGATGTTTAGCAGGACTTTTTGTTTATAATTGCCTTAAATTACTGCTACACTCAGAGATGGGGGACTTGGATATACGGGAAGGCTTTTTAATGTAATTGATGTATTTTCCTGTCACATTAATATGTCACATGAGTAAATGCAAATACTAAAACTATGCTTGATCTCTGATCTTATTTAGCATCGGGGTGGTTTTATTGTAATGATCTGTTGCTCTTAAATGGTGAATAGCCATAGCAAAGACTTTAATCAGATGGGGGAGCGGATAGTTAAAGGATTCAAACCTCCTCTGACCCAGAAATAGCCCTCTCCATTGGTCTTTTTTTTTTACATCTCACCCTACCAGATGTCACAACATGCAGCAATATTATGGCAGAGACCAACCTGTTATATTAAAATAGACCAGCGGTCCATCCAGGTGGGTCCTGTCTCTTTGGCAGTGGCCAAAATTCTTCAGAAGTTGCAGAGGTAAGTCGTCCATAAAGCCACTCTTATCTCCTCAACAACCATGATGCTTATAAAAAATGTAGAAAGTGATAACAGCTACCGAGAAAACACTGGGGATTGCTGTGGCTTCATTACTTATATTTTAAAAACAAGCTAACAACCCCTTTTCACTGATTTAGAACCAGCAAGTCATGCACGGAACAGGGCAGTGCAACTATATATTTGTAGTACTCCTACTCTACCTGTCTTCCCTATGCGTGCTTCCTATTGTCTGCTATTCACTTACTGTGTCTGAAATGATTTTTTTTAACTTGGGGCAGGACTTTGCACCCCTCTAATGCAGATTCTGCATTGGCACAGTTTATCTTGGTGTATTACCAAATGAAGATAGACTGGTGTAAACCTTGCTTAGTGCCAGTGCGGTGTGTCTACAGTGGGAATTGGTTTCACTGGATCTACACTGGTGTAGTTCACTGGTGCCTATTTGCTCAGTGTGTAGACAGGGCTTGAGTTACTTGTTTTGCTGTGGAAATATCCCCCTGCTTTCAGGAACTGTGGCATGTGTTTAGAGATCAGTTCAGCTGACATGTCACTCAGTACTCACTTGGATGCTTGGCAAAATTGCGGATGACCCATCCCCGAAACAGAATGGCTCATGTAGACCCATCACACCATTGGTATGCATGCCAGCACTGCACCACTGGTTCAGCTTTCTGACAGAGGAGGTTTCTTGTACAATGTAGTGTCAGTCTAATAGTTCAAGCCCCCCCTCATTTCCCTCCCCACTTAAGACTAATTCTGATTTCAGGCCATTTATTTTATGTTAATGTGGCTTTCTCTCTTTTTTCCTAATACATATTATTTAATACAGTCCTTGAGCTCAACACTGTGGGTAAATTCAGACTCATGAAAGTGGTAAAGGAATTCTAAGGCTACACAAAGTAGATGGCTGGCTGCTAGGGATGTAAAATCCCATTTAATTGGTTAAACGTTTTGTTTAACCAGTTAACTGATTAAAGGAGGGGCGGGTGGACTGGAGCGGCCCCCATAGCAGACAGGTGCTGCTCCAGCCTGGCCAGAGCAGCCCTGTCCATGGCAGGAAGGGAGCTTCTCCGGCTCCCACCAGTTCACCAGAACCAAGAAGCATTGCCCATTAAGGGTGACAGCTTACCGGTGAACTGGTTAACCATTCACATCCTTAATGAGTATCCTTGTACTCAAGACAATGCAGAGGACCATGGTCAGGAAACACCATCTCAGGCACGGACTCTTTTTTTTAAAATGAAAACCAAACTGACATTGACATGTCACTTTTGCAGAGTGATTTTCAGATGACTTTAAAGCCGTGAAAGGTTATAAAACATTTTTCCATTTTTTTGCAAAAAGAATGCTAAGTGTTTTAGAGCTGCCTGGCCCCCCGACTTCAGTATTTTACCAACTAATATGCATGCTGCTGTAGGCAGAGACTGAAGATAGTTAGTAGCCCCCTTATAGGTTAACATATTTTGGCTTTTCCTGAGCGCGGTTTATGCGTATGAGACCATCCCTGCAGCCAAGTAAGGTTTAGTGTTTTATCAGGTGCTAATATGGAGGGCTGTAAAATACATGAGAGCAGTTAGAAATGTAAAGGTTGCAGAACTTATCACCACTTTCCAGTAACTGTTTAATTAAAAAAAAATCTTTTGCTGTAACATATAAATGGTAAACACACAGGCCTGCCAGCTCAAACAAAACGAATGCAGCATATGCTTTTGCATGCTAGCTTACCATCCTGACATGTTACAGCTCTGTTGTAGTTATGCATCATTACCCTGTGCTGTTCTGACATCCTCTATCCCAGCACGCTACCCTCAAACCGTTTTAACACTTGGAACCAGTTGTTATAGCACCTGCTAGCTCTGTTACAGTTAAGGTCCTGTCAGGATTTCCTTAGGGGCTAGAATTCTGCTACAAGAAGGGTTTCTCATTGCTTCAGCTGGCACTGGATTGCAGGGCTGGCAGGCCTGCCTGCTGCTGTTGGGCCAGAGGTTTGCCCTAAATCTGGCAGGGGCCCGCACAAGTTTGTGGCATGTAAAATCAGCTCTTTTCCTGCTCCCGACTGTTCACCACAGGAGTACCCACCTGCCTCCCCTGCAGTTAGCTGTTCAGTAAGGCAGGGTACGCTCTTTCCCGAGTTCATGCAATTCTACCCTTTTGCCACACAGTAAGATGCCCGTTGTCTGGTTTCCTAAACTTGGTCCATTTTAGATAAATGCGTCGTACCAGGACTTTGCCTCTGAGCAGATGCCTCATCTGACTCCTGCCAGTGTGCTGCTGTTTTAGTCTTTAAAAGTGCTGACAGTTTAAGAGCTGGTTTCAGGTGGTGCCTTTTGTAGCTCTACAGAGGGAAGAGGATGATGTTAAAAACCAAATGAATGAGAGGCTTGCTGTTGCTGGAAGGCAGGGGAAAAGGGCTCTTCACTGGAAAAAAAAAAATCCTGCTTTTATTTCTAAAGTGCTGTCTGCCCCTCCTGCAAAGGCTCTGAGAAGGCAGCACAACAGCACTTACAAAGACATGCTCAAATATTAGCAAAACCCACGTTCGCCAACACTAGAACAAATCGGTGGCAGTTTGACGGGGAAGGAGAATAGCAGGGGTTCAAAAATGAGACTCTAATAGTAATTCCTAAACAAGAATTCTGGGGCAGAAACCAAATTAGGGATTTTTTGAGTGAGCAGAGGAACTTGAGACAAGTTTTATGGGAAGAGTCCCGCACCCTATGGCCTGCTGCAGCAATGGCAGGTTTGCCTACCCCATCGGAAGTGTTAATAGCTGATACCTGAAAGGTGGGTGGTGATACAGTAAGCTGAGATCTATGTAACGTAGTGTCTACAATTATCACACTTGAAAAACCAGCAGATCTAAGCGATATCTAATGTGTTACTTAAAGCTTTATAGGTAGCTAACATAATATGCTCAAAGATGTACTATGCTCATAACTTGCTTATGGGAGTGAGCAAAAGTGCTGCATTATCTGGAACAACCTGCAATTAATGGAGAAGGCTTATTAAAAGGGAGTTTAGAAATTCAAGCCCGCTGATGCACCATGTTGCTCTCAAAGTTGCTGCAGGCTAAATAATACAACAGCCTTTATAAATGGTTTTGCAAAGATCTGAACGGGGGACAGCTTCCCATAGGTTCTGGGTCAAAGTAACACTGGGATTCTTCTTCGAGGCGTGTCCCTGTGGGTGCTCCACCTTAGGTCTAGCAGCACCATTGCACGCTGCAAGACCTAAGGTGGAACACCCACAGGGACAGCCCTCCCGAAGAATCTCCGTTACTGCACGAAGTGAGTAACCCTCTCTTCTTTATTTGCCTTCCTGCTGCTCATGAAGCAGAAGCATGAAGTGACCAAGAATATGCACGGTATTAGTCTTGAACACTTACATTTTTGTATTTCGCAATACAAATGCTAAAACTTGAGGGCTATGTCTACACTCGTGGCTACTTGCGCCAGCCTCAATTGCATATTTCTAAGCGTGGAATATTGCTGAGCCTCATTTGCATACCTAATGAGCTGCCATTTTTGCAGAAGAGGCTCTTGCACCAGAAGGAGCTGTCTACACTGCCCCTTCCTGCGCAAGAAAGCCCCTTTTGCGCAGTGCCGTTATTCCTGAAAATAATTGGCATAACGGCATTGCGCAAGAGGGTTTTTCTTGCGCAAGAAGGGGCAGTGTAGATAGCTCCTTCTGGTGCAAGAGCCTCTTCTGCAAAAATGGCAGCTCATTAGGTATGCAAATGAGGCTCGGCAATATTCCACGCTTAGCCTCATTTGCATATTTCTGGCACAAGAAGCCATGAGTGTAGACATAGCTCAGGTGTCTGCCCACACATCAGAAAAGAGTGGGGGTGTGAGAGACTGTCCTATCTCGTGTGCCTACTGCCTGTACATCGCAGTGTATGAGGTATTAAATCCTGAGATCTGTTGAAATGGATTATACAGGCAGTCCCTGACTTACGCGGATCCGACTTATGGCGGATCCGCACTTACGAACGGGGTTTTTCTCGCCCCGGAACTCACGGGCGGCGGGACCACCCAGACGCACAGTGGTCCCACCACCGCGTCCTCCGGGGCGAGGAAAGCTGCTCCGGGTGCCCATGGTCTGCTGGGGACCGTCTCCAGCAGACCAGGGACACCTGGAGCAAAGCCGGGGAGGTGGAGGGGTCCCGCGCCTCTGAGGCTTTGCTCCCGGTGTCCCTGGTCTGCTGGGGACTGTCTCCAGCAGACCAGGGACACCGGGAGGTTTGCTGTGGCAAAGCCTCAGAGGCGCGGGGGCCCCCCGCCCCCAGACTTTAATGGGACTTCTGCTGCTGCATCTTTTTGAAGTTTACATCATAACTGGTCAAATCCAGTTACATGCGCGCATTCAGGCTGTCTTCTGTCAATTTTATGGTAGGGGGCTGGGGCTGCAGGAGACTGGGTTGGGATGTATGAAGTGCTCAGGGGAGGAAATTTGGGTGTATGACGGTCTCGGGGATTAAGATTGGATTGTGTGGGGGTGCAGGAGTGTTATGGCAGGGGACTCAGGATGTGGGGGTAAAGGAGCCTGGGGAGGTAGGGGTGCAGGAGTTTGGGGATGTGGGGTATGATGGGCTCAGGGCACGGGGTTCAGGTGTATGAGGGGCTCATGTCATGGGGTTCAAGTATATAATGGGCTCAACGCCTGGGTTTAAGTTGAATCTGTATTGTGGAGGCAGGAAAAAGGAATAAGGGAATTTGTGTGCAGCCATCTTGGTCTTGTTAACAAGAGAGCAAGAGTCAGGCTAAGTCTGTGGCCTGACAACGCGAGATCTGTAATTAGACGCTGCCTTCGCCTCTCGCCTCCATACGGAGATAAGGATAGAATGCTGACTCTGGTAGGGACCTTGAGATAAGGAGCATCTGGGTGGAACTAAATAACTGTTAGCCATTGATGTTTGTAATGGGAAGGAGACTAATTGTTATTGGTATTATAGCTAATAGACAGTATATAAACTGCTT